CCAGTCCACACCCCCAGGCTTCCCCAAAGGCTAGGCACTCCCTCCCTAGGCAGAGGGGGCTCCTGGGAGGGTCTGGGACCCAGCATGGCGGTGGACATGGGAAGGCCCTTGGCTCGTCTGCTGGACACAGCACCCACTCCTTGGTAAAAGCCACATTTGGGTGAAGGAACCATCAGGTGAATGGATGAACGACGAATGAACAAATGGCTGGGTCCACATGGATGCCTACCTGATGACCCAGTGGCAAAAGCACAGTAGGAAACCATGAGCCTGCAGGGACCTGGGAGTGCCCCCTCCATGGGAGTCAGCCCTGTCCTGGGGACCTGCGAGAAGGGGCTCCACTGGAGGAGGGGGTGGTTCGTCCCAGGGAGGGTGGGGAAGGGTGTGACCAAGGTGTGGAGCTCCTGGAACCCAGCTCATCAGTCTGGGGTGTCCGGAAGCCTTGGGTGGGGGTGTTGGGCTCCTAAGGGTGGGGTGGCTAAAGCCGGACGGCCACATGGAGGTGGGGGGGTGCAGCTCAGAGGCCCCAGGGTCTGGCTAAGGAGGGGCGGTGGGAGAACCCAGGAGTAGCTCTGCAGTCCCTGGTTCCCCCATCCAGCCAGAGGGGCTCCCCAAAGTGTGTGCACTGCCCCTCATTTCCTCCACCCCCCAGGTCACCCTCAGGTTGTGCACCCCTTGCCAGCAGCCCGGGTGGGCTGCACCGGGCCTGGTGCGGAGTGAGAGCCCTCCCCCTCCCACTGGCAAGGGACCTAGGGGGAGGCTGCAGCCCCTTCCTCAGCCCCTCCCCGCCCTCATGACTGAGGCCCGCATTCCCCAGGAAACAGGGGGCTGGCAGAGACAAGGGGGCTCCGGGGCTGGCAGCTGGACCAGTTGGACAGTCTGTAGTTTGTGGAGAGGGAAGGCCAGGGCAAAGGTGGCCGGGGCTCCAGGGGCCCCTGGCTCCTCCTTGCTGTGCCCCCCGCAACCCTGCCACCACAGGACCACCCACAGGCTGCACAGTGCCATCAGCCATGGGAAACCTGCCTCACGCCTGGGGGAGGCGAGGCTTCACACCAGGACCAAAACCCGGACCCAAGGGAACCCCTCCCCACCAGGAACCTCCTGGGCCTGGTGGGGCCCCGAGATCTGGAGGTGACTGAGGTGATAGAGACAGCAGTGACAGGCTGTGGAGGTGGGGCCCGGCCAGCCAGACAGCGTGAAGCAGGGCAGCCTGGGGTGGGCTGGAGGTCGGGCTCAGCCCGCGGGGACTTTGGCATGTCCCTGCTGCAGGCGTCCCCAGAGCCCCTGCACACACTCTTCACAGCTGGCTGGAGGGCATGGAGGAGCTGCAGGCCTTGTGACCTGTGACCGCCCCTTTGTCCTGGGCCTGGCAGCTGTTCCTGCGCCTGCTGGGGGATTGGACACTGCAGGTGAAGCTGAGACTGTAGGAGATGCTGAACCCAGCTGAGATGCAGGCACGATGGCACGGCCTGGTGCAGCGGGCAGAGGCCAGGTGAGGCCAGGGGCTGGGTGGAGAGTGCCAGCTGGCATGGGGAGGGTGCCACTGACCACCCTCTTGGTCCCCAGGTTGGCACTCCTGAAGCAGTTTTTACCTGCTGCTTGGAGCTTTGAGGAGACCTGCGGTGTGACCCTGGTGCTGCTGACCCCGGAAAAGCAGCTCCTGACCCAGGTGGGGCCCGAGGGCAGGGAGGGGCCTTCTTGCAACTGTAGGTACAGACAAGGGCCAGGGTGGGCCAGGGCAGGCACAGGGCTCAGTGGGCGTGTCCACAGGAGGTGTACCAGGGGTCTGTGGCCCAGGCTGAGGGCCGTGGAGGCTGGCCGGAGGCTGGTGGCGCTGCTCATAGGTGAGTGGGGAGTGGGACAGGCAGGCAGGTCAGACAGGATGTCCTCTGTGCTCGTATTTGGAGATTCCCAGAAAATCCCTTCTCCCAGTGCTCCCTACTCCATTTGGAGCACGTTCCAGGTTCCGGACCCCGGCCCTTCCCTCTGGATTGGCTGCCTAGGGATACCACTGTGCCCAGCAGGGACTGCTGCCTGGCCTGGGCATGGGGTCCACTGAGCCCACAACCCCAGCAAGCCTGGGGGCCTGGCTGGAACGGGAGGGGGCCACCTCTGAATATCAGGTGCTCCAAAACCAAGAACAGGTGTTTGTCCAAGGGTGGGCCAGGAGTGCAGAGACAGAGCTGGCGGGCTGAAGCAGGGGTGTCCATCCTGCCCCATTGCATCTGGCCCTGAAACAGGCATGCCCTGGGAGGAGGGACCCCCTGTGAGGGCACCCGCCACTTGGGCCTGCTGCTGGAGCCACTGGGCTGCTGGGCGGTGGTGTCTGGGTCCTGGATGGGGAAGTCAGCCTGTCATTCTGCTCTGTGCCCACCCCCTCCCTCTGGGCCCTCCTCCCGCCCACCTCTGCCACTCTAGGCCAGGTGTGCTGGAGGAGAGAGTGATGCTCACTGCGGGCCACTCTGTGGAGAAGCTGTCTGCACCACCCCACAGGCTGAGCCAGGCCAAGCCCTGCGGGACCAAGGGGCACCTGTGGCCTGGGGCCAAAGCCTGCACAGTGAACTCCTGGACCAGGCTGGGGTCAGCATGATGACACTGCTCTCGGGTGCCCTGGGACCCCCTTCCTGGGACTATGCCCTCTGAGTGCCCCTCTGACGTGCAGGCACTATGGGGGAAGCGAGTGGCCTGCATGGCTGGGCGCAGCTCCTGAGGCGCTGGGTGCCCAACAGCCAGCTCAGGGGGGCACCAGCTTCCGCTGGCAGCAGGCAGAGCAGTGGGCAGGGTTGGGAAGAGGGGCTCACCTTACTGGACTCCTGAGGCCCCCCGGCTGTGTGGGTGGTGCTGGCCCAGGTGTGGGGGTTGCAGGGAGAGGAGCCAATGGGACAAGGAACAGTGGGCATGGCTGGGGCAGGGCCAGCAGTATGCATGCTGCCCACACGTGCAGGTGAGGGTCAGATAGGCATGCTGCCCACCCCAGGCACACAAAAGAGACCCAGGCCAGGCCAGCCTCACACCTCCTTCCCACAGCAAGGGGCTGGCACACACCTGGATTTGGTGGCCTGGTAGCAATGCCGCCTGCAATGGCTTGGCCACAGGAAGCAGACCCGGGGTGAACTCCAGCCACAAACCCTGGCCAGCATGGCCATGCGTCCCAGCAGGACATCATGGACAGGGTCCTGGTGTCTGGTGAGCAGGCCTGGGGATGGATGAGTTTGGCCCCGCACACCTTGGGGGCATGTGGGCTCATGCCAGAGCTCACTACTCTGTCGGGTCAGGGTTCTCCAGAGGCCAGCAACAGCCACACAGCATGGCCAGTGTCAGGGACATGGACAGAGATAGCACACAGCTGACCAGAGGCCAGCTGAGGGCCCAGGGCGCCTGGGTGAGCAGATGTCAGCATGGGCTTGGTGGGCAGGGGTAAGGACAACCACGGAAGCTGACCGGCATCCTCCCCCACGGAAGCCCGGATCCCCAGCCCCTGCGCCTGTGCAGGTGTCTCCAGGTGCCCTCATGGTTGATGCTGGAGGTGGCTGGGTGGCCCTGGATGAGTATCTGGTCAAGAATGAATGGGGGCCGGCTGAGTGGCACGTTGGTTAGGAGTTAGTTTGGGATGCCAGCTCTAAACAGCAAGGCCCCAGTTCGGATCCCATATGAGGGCCAGTGACGCTGTGCCTTCTACAGCTAAGATGGTGAACAACAGCTCGACCTGGAGCTGGGCTGTGGTGAGTCGCCGGCGAAGGCGTAGGCTGCAGTGGGGCTGGCCAGCAGCGGGCGTGAGCTTTCCTGAGCTGCCATGAGCTGCCGTGAGCAGCCGTCCAATGACCAGCGAGCGACTACCTCTCCCGGGAAGAGCGCAATGATAATACCAACATGGGCCAATGAAGCGACGTCCTCCACAACTAGACTGAAGAACAAAAGGACAATAACTTGTCTGTTCCCCTTCCTCTAATTCCCCAGCGCTGTTCCCATCCCCCAATTCCCCAATTAAAAAAAAAAATCTTAAAAAAAAAGAGAAGGACCTGGGCAGATGTGAGGGCTGGGGGAGAAGAGACTGAGCACTCCAGGCTGGCACTAGGCCCTGCCCTGGGGGGTGAAAGGCACCTGCTCTGCCCTGTCCATCTGGGATCTCTGGGCAGCGAAGGGCAGGACCAGCCAGGAGACCCATGAGAAGTTCCTGTCCTGGGCAGTGCCCCCAGCAGGCTGGTCCCCGAGGTCACGTACCCAAGGCTCGGGGCCTTCATCCTCAGCACCTCCAGCAGCCCCCCTGCCCAGGAAGGTGGTGCTGGGACAGGCATCTGAGAGGGGGCACAGGTGCTCCTGGGTGGACCGGGGCCCTCCTCTGAGCCGAGGCGGAGGGGCTGGCCCCGTGTGGTGAGGCCTGGCCTTCTCTTCTAGACAGGCTTGGGAGCCTGCTGAGGACACAGAGACCCTAGCTCTTCAAGGTCAAGTCCAAGGAGGGGCATTGCAGCAAGGGGAGCCCTGAGGACACCTGGGCTCAGCCCCCCATGACTAAGCAACAGCTCTGGGAGCCCGACGGAAGGGAATGTGCAGGACCCTGTGGACAGCCATGTCCGGGCCTGCTCCGGCAATAAAGTCGCGTTTTGGAACTAAACTCGCATGCTGCCGGGTCCTCATGTCCCTTGTGAACTCCATTCAAATGCCGTCGGAGCCCACGCGGACGCACCTGCCTCCCTGCTCCCAGCGACCGATCACATTCCTTCGCGGTGAGTCTTTGGGAGGGGTCAAGAGGGGCGGGGGTAGGAGGGAGAAGACCCTGAGCCTCCGCAGCCCCTGCCCCCACCTCGGGGCCCCTCCTCGCCTAGGAATGCGTACAACCCGCCGGCCACGGGGCGCGCGCAGCGTGTCGGTCCGGCCGCGCGCGAGGTTCCCAATACCTGCCCGCCCCACCTGACTTCGCGGCGCCAGCACCTGGCCACCGCCCCCAGACGAGGGCGGGGCCCCTGCGGGGCGGGGGCGAGCGGGTTTAAATCCCGGCGGTGCAGGGCCCGGCCGGTGGAGCGAGCGGGGAAGGACTGCGAACCGAGCGTGGAGCGCGCAGGTGGGACCCGGGAAGCTGGACCTTCCCCAAGGGAAACCGAAACACCTGCGCGGTGCTCGGCCAGGGGCCGCAAAGGCTGGGGTGGGAACGCGGGTGGGGGCGCAATATGCCTGCGGGGGGCCCCGGGCTCCGAGCTGTGGCTCAGCTTCTGTCCCACCGGGACGGTCTGAGCTCCGAGCAGGGCGCCGCGGCCGGGTCTGCGCCCTCCCGGCCCTGGCAGTAGCCCCAGCGCCGGGGTGCGGGTGAGAAGGCTGAGATACCCCGTGTGGGCGTGGGAGGCGCGGGGCGGGGGTCTCGCCCTCCCAGTGGTTTCCCGGCAGGACGGGTGCGCCTCTCTGGGCGGGGCCCTGCAGGTCCGGTTGCTTCCTGGCCCCCTTACAGGGCGGGGGTGGGGGCGTTTGCAACCCGAGCAGGCCATGGCGACTAGGGGGTGAGGCAATTAGGCTGACAAATTGAGAGCGTGTGGCTTCTCCTTGAGGTGCTGACCCGCTGAGGGAGCTACCTGCTGTCAGCACAGGGACGCCTGCTGGGGTCACCTCAGGATCCTTAGGAGGCAGAGGTGGGAAGGGCTCTGCTCATCGTGGGCCCTACCCGCCGGTGCACTGCTGTCCCACCCCACCCCCATCTCACCACGCGTCTATCTAGCCATTGATCTCTGTCTGTCTGCACCTGGGCGGGTCTCCCAGCCGCTGCCCACAGCCGGACAAAGGTCGCTGCTTCCCTGTGTGAGGCCACCTGGTTCTGTTCTGATCTGGCTCGGATGGACAGCCAGCTAGCCACCCCCGGAGGGGGGGGGGAGGTGGGCTGCCCTTCAGGGAGTTGACAGTAGGCTGCCCTCCTCCCTGGAATGTGAATCCACCCTCCTCAGGAACTGCCTCCCATCCCTGGTCTAGGGCCACCAGGTAAGTCACTTCCAGGAAGCACAGGAGGGTCCCTCCCCCTTCTCAGATTCCCTTTGCTTTTTTTTTTTTTTTTTTTGCCTTTTTTGGGAGGTGGGGGGAGGAGAAATCTGCTCAGCCCCCCTGGGCCAGCAGTTCTTTCAGTTACAAACTATGTCCATGTCTGCCTGTGGCCACCTCTCTGGGACACCGACCTTTTGGTTTCCGTGACTGGGTCTCCGGTTCCCCAGGCTCTGCACACCTCTCATGCCCTGGGCTGCCTCTCCAAACTCTAGACCCTTCTGTCCAGTTGCCTTCCCAAGGTCCCCACTACAGCGGCCTTGGGACACTCACAGACACAGGCCCCAGCCTCCCACTCCTGGCTCAGTGCTCCTTAGGTGCTCAGACCCTCCCTCCCACCAGGAGGCCCTCGACCTTGAGCTTGTGTGGGTTCCTCTGGGTTCCTGGTCCTGGCCTGCCCCTCCACACTGGAGCACAGCCTGTCTGGGCTCTGGAATGACTGCCCGTGTCCAGGCCCAGGGCCACCCATGGCTGGCTGCCCTGGTAGCCCTGTAACCTGGCGCTCCTGCCAGCACGGGGCAGGGCGGGATGCCAGCCTGTGTGGCTCCCTCAGGCTCAGACCCTCTGAAGGCGGTTCTGGAACAGGCATGCATTAGTAAGGAAACACGTGTGCAGATGGGCAGCACAGCACATGACCAGTTCTGTCCCGGGACAGTCTGACAGAGAGCATTAGGAAGTGGCTCAAGATGGCCCCTGGAAACAGATGGGCAGAGGGACAAGCTGGCCTGTAATGCCATCTCACCGACCCCTAGAAGGAGGTCAGGGCAGCCCTGCATCCACCACGGTCACACCAAGCCCTGGGCTCCACTGCCAGGGCACGGATGGGCATCTCTTCCTGGGGAAACGTGTAGGAGTAGGACCCACTCCTCACTCCCTTGCCTGGCTGCTTGTCAGCTAGCTTCATGACCACCTGGGGTGTGAGCAGACCCTCATCCCTGAGGTGCCCTCTCAGGCTAGGGCAACTGTGCTGCTGGTCCCTTTGCTGCCAGACACCCCCGGGAAGATCCACCTGGGCCACCAGAGCACACCCCTGCCCCCACCCTGTCACAGGCTCCCCACCCCCCACCCCCTCTTTGTCATCAGCTCAGCTCCCCTGCTGGTCTCATGGTCCTGGGCACAAGGAGCCAGAGTGCCCGGTGGTAGCTGTGGCTTTCAGCCCAGTGGGACTATAGCTGTATCCTCTGGGACCAGGACCTCTAAACCCACGGACCCTAGAGCTACAGGAGGAGGAACCCAAGCTCCAGTGGGTCAGTGTGGGGATGGTGGGGGTCACGCCTGCTCCCACCTCTTGGTTCCTGGGCCAATGTGGTCCCCTCGCTGGGACAGGGTGTGTCACCTTTTAGAGTAGTGCACCCCCACCTGGGGGATGAGATTGGGGCTACCTCTGAGCTGGCGTTTCCGAGGTACCTTCAGTGACCTCTCACAATGGAACCGCCTCAGCCTGCCCTGCCCTGTGGAAGTCAGCACCTCTCCACTGGCCACCACGAGGCCCCAGTGTCCACATGGGCTTTTGCTATCCAGCTGGTCACTTGCAGCCTTTGTGACCTTTTACCAAAGGCTGGTTGCTGAGCAACGGCCCCCATTCTTGTCCGCATCTCCTCAAATGCCTGATACTGTGCTCTGAGCACACCTGCCCTGCATGGCCCACTCGCCTCAAAAACTGGACAGTTGCAGTGCCTCCCGGAGCCCTGCTCTCATGGCCAGCCGGGCAGCCCCTCCAAAGTCCCACCCTGGTATCTGCCTGGTCATGGCACCAACTGTCTGAGACTGAGCAGCAGACCAGCTTCAGGGTGTGCCCAGCGTTCGTGCAAGGGAACGGAGGGGGCAGGACTCCACACATTGTGGGGTGTGGGCTTGCTGCTGTCTCAGCAAGCAGCCTGGCAGTGATGTGACACCCCTGCTGAGTGGAAGGACTGAGCCTGTGCATCCCCGGGAAGGGGCTGATTCCCAGGAGGCAGCCCTCCTCCCTGTGACAGTATCCACCCCTCCAGGTGTGTGTCAGAGCCTGGCCTCTTACTGCTAACCTCAGGGTCCCTGCACCCGTCTCCACCATGCTGCCCCCCTGCACAGCCCTGGCGCTAAAGTTTCAGCTCCCGCTCCAGTGTCTACTTGCTGACCCCACCCTCCTCCAGGACAGCAGCAGGGAAGGCGTCCTGGGGTGACACAGCTGTGCCCACAAGCGGCGGGGCCAAGGGGTACCGTGGAGGCCAAGGGCAAGGCCGTGAGGTGAACTGGGACAGATGAGCACTCTCGTGGGGCCAGTTGGCGGTTCAGGGCCCAGGCTCTCAGAGTGCGTGAGGGAGAACCGTTCACGGGCGCAGGGGTATGGACGCCATGGAGTCCAAGGCTGCTCATGAGGCTGCCAGAGCAGGTGTCCAGGAGGCAGCCGGGACTCCGGGGCAGGCTGGGCTCGGCTGCAGATGTGGGGGCCTGAGGCAGTCTCAAAGAGCTGAGTTCATGGGTAAGTGGAGATGGAGCAGAACCCTGTCACCAGAGAGAAGGATCTCCACGCCCTGCGACCTGGAGGTCAGGGATGGCCAGATCTGAAATGGGCTCGTCGGATTTGGCAGCCAGAGTTCAGGCCGTCTCGGCCAGAGCTGTGCAGTGGGGATGAGGGGCAGACATGGGGCTTGAGCCTCTCCCGAGAGCCGGTGTGGGCCTCGGAGAGCTAGCTGGTCATGAGGCAAGGACAGCGCAGATCAGGGGAGGAGGGGCTGCGGGTGTGGTTCTGAAGAAACAGGGAGGGGACCGCCGTTCCCTAGGCTGTCGCAACAGTTACCACAACCTGGGTGGCTTAGAACAACAGAAACTGCTCTCGCAGTGCAGAGGCCAGAATCCGAAATCAGCCCTTCTGGCTGTTGGCGGTAACCCTGGTGTGTCGGGCGCATCACGCCAGGCTGCCCCCGTCGTCACGGGCGTTGTCCGTGTCTGTCTTCCTAAGGACACCAGGCATGTTGGATCAGGGCCCTCCCTGCCCAGGTGACCTCATCTTGACATAGTTACATCTGTAAAGACCCTGTTTCCAAACGAGGGCACAGTCACGGGGCCTGGACGTATCTTTTGGGGACACCACTTAACCCAGCGTAGAGGGACGGGCCTGGGCAGGAGGTTAGGCACCTGTCACCACTGCTCAGAGACTCGGACACAGCTGTCTGCTGAGAGGGGACAGCATGGGGGTTGCTGGGCTTTGAGCCAGCAGCCCAGGCCCAGCTGGCTGCAGACTATGCTGGCCTTGCCCACAGCGCCACAGGACCGCCACACGGGCACTGAGTCTCTGGTGTCCCAGGCTCCCCAGGTGTGGACACAGAGCCAGCCTGAGGCTGGAGACCTTCAGGGCATCAGGGCAGGGGCAGGCGGACAGGAGGGTTTCTGGCTGGAGCCCACCAGGGAGCTGGAGTGGGGGGGAGTGTGTGTGGAGGAGGCCACTGGAAAGAGGGAGGTGGAAGGACGAGATAGGTGCTGGTATCCATGAACATGGGGTGCCAAAGCAAAGCTTTTGGGGGGCAAAGAGGAGGGCCACATGGCTGGAGGCGTGGGCACTGGAGGGGGTGCAGCGCCGATGCAAGCACACAAGGGCCAGCTGGGGGGGACTACGGGGGGCAAAGGATGGCCTCCAGGAGAAAACAGCCCACACAGCCCGAGGGGCCACCTTGGCCATCCTGGGGTCCTTGTGCTCACATGGTCCCAGAGACACAGGGGGAAAGGGAGGGGGCTCACCTGGATGCTGGTCCTGGTCCCCCAGGAAGGCCAGTCAAATCTGGAGGTGAACCCAGGACCTGGGATTGACCCTCTACCACCCACCTGGGCCATCCCAGGGCCCCTGACAGAGCCTTTCCACCCCTGCAGGGAGCAGACAGCGGACCGTGAGTGAGTGACTTCTGCACAACCAGCTGGGCACCATGAACGGCCACGCTTCTCTCGATGTCCTGATCACCAATGGCACTGAGCCAGCCATCATCCCCAAGACCACGAAGACCGGGCTGGAAGCCAGCATTCCCTCTGGGCCACAGGCCAGGAGCATTGCCGGGGTGTATGTGGAGGCCTCAGGCCAGGCCCAGAGTCTCTACACTGCCATGAAGCAGGGCCTCCTGCCTGATGGGCTCGGGCTGGCTCTGCTGGAGGCCCAGGCAGCCACTGGGGGGCTCGTGGACCCTGCCCAGGGCCAGCTGCTCCCCGTGTCTGAGGCCCTGCGTCAGGGTCTGGTCGGCCTGGAGCTGAAGGAGAAGCTGCTGGCTGCTGAACGTGCAGTCACTGGGTACCCTGACCCCTATGGGGGTGAGAGGCTGGCTCTCTTCCAGGCCATCGGGAAAGAAGTTGTGGACAGGGCACTGGGCTGGGGCTGGCTAGAGGCCCAGCTGGCCACGGGGGGCCTGGTAGATCCCATCCAGGGCGTGCGTGTGCCCCCAGAGCTGGCCTGCCAGCAGGGCCTCCTGGACCAGGAGACATGGCGTGGACTGTCAGAGCGTGAGCCAGGCTCAGGTGCTCCGGGCTTCCTGGATCCCAACACGCTTGAGCAGCTGTCCTACAGTGAGCTGCTGGGCAGGTGTGTGCAGGCCCCCAGCACGGGGCTGGCCCTGCTGCCCCTGAAGACCACTTTCCGTACCCTGAGTGGGGCGGCGAGCTTGGCCGAGCTGCTGGAGGCAGGGATCCTGGATGAGGAGACAGCCCGGGGCCTGCAGGAGGGCAGGCTGGCAGTGCCAGATGTGAGCGCACGCCCCCAGGTGCAGCGTTACCTGCAGGGCACCGGCAGTGTGGCGGGGGTTGTCCTGCTGCCTGCTGGCTGCAAGAAGAGCTTTTTTAAGGCTGTTGCCGAGCACCTGCTCCCAATGGGTGCCGCACTGCCGCTCCTGGAGGCTCAGGTTGCCACCTGTGCCCTGGTGGACCCAGCCACCGGCCAGCAGCTCTCAGTGGATGAGGCAGTCAGGGCAGGCCTGGTTGGCCCAGAGCTGCATGGGCAGCTCCTGGAGGCAGAGCAGGCAGTGACCGGCTACCATGACCCCTTCAGCGGCACACGCATCCCCCTCTTCCAGGCCATGAAGAAGAAGCTAGTGGACAGGCCTTGGGCACTGCGGCTCCTGGATGCCCAGCTCACCACAGGCGGGCTGGTGTGTCCAGCCCACAGGCTCCGGCTGCCCCTGGAGGCTGCCCTGCGCTTTGGCTGCCTAGACGAGGAAACACAGCAGTGTCTCTCGCAGGCTGCTGGCTTCTGCGACCCCGGCACACAGGAGAGCCTTAGCTATGCGCAGCTGCTGGCCCGCTGTGTCACCGATCCGGAGACGGGGCTGGCCTTCCTGCCCCTCTTGGGGGGGCCCCTTGGAGAGGAGCCACAGGGACCCCCATTCATTGAGCACAGTACCCGCCAGGCTTTGAGTGCAGCCACTGCCACCGTCTCGGTGGGCAAGTTCCAGGGCCGGCCCGTGTCGCTGTGGGAGCTGCTCTTTTCTGAGGCTGTCCCCAAGGAGCAGAGGGCAATGCTGGCCCAGCAGCACAAGAAAGGGGACCTCTCAGTGGAGGAGCTGGCAGCTGTGCTAACGACCACTGTGGAGCAAGCTGCAGTCACTACCAGGACCACCTTTGCTGGGCTGAGGGTCCCCGTGACATCAAGAAAGCTGTTGGAAGCGGAGGTCATCGGCCAGGATGTGTATGAGCAGCTGGAACGGGGACAGACCACGGCCCAGGATGTGGGCAGACTGGACTTGGTGCAGAGGTACCTGTGGGGCACCGGCTGCATTGCCGGCCTACTGCTGCCTGGCGCCCAGGAGCGGCTCAGTATCTACGAGGCTTACAGGAAGCGGCTCCTGCGGCCGGGCACGGCCCTTATCCTGCTGGAGGCACAGGCAGCCACCGGCTTCATCATTGACCCCCAAAAAAACAAGAGATACTCCGTGGAGGAGGCGCTGAGGGCTGGCATCATCGGGCCCAACATGTTCGCAAAGCTGCTGTCGGCCGAGCGCGCTGTCACCGGCTACAAGGACCCCTACACCGGGGAGCAGATCTCCCTGTTCCAGGCCATGAAGAAGGACCTGATCGTCAGGGACCACGGCATCCGCCTGCTGGAGGCCCAGATCGCCACGGGCGGCGTCATCGACCCGGTGCACAGCCACCGCGTGCCCGTGCACGTGGCCTACCAGCGCGGCTACTTCGACGAGGAGATGAACCGGGTCCTGGCGGACCCGAGCGACGACACCAAGGGCTTCTTTGACCCCAACACGCACGAGAACCTCACCTACATGCAGCTGATGGAGCGCTGCGTGCGTGACCCTGAGACCGGTCTCTTCTTGCTGCCGCTCAGCAGTGTACAGCCCAAGCTGGTGGACAGTGCCACCCGGCAGGCCTTCCAGAGCCTGCTGTTGTCAGTGAAGCATGGGCGATTCCGGAGGCAGCAGGTGTCCGCGTGGAAGCTGCTCAACTCTGAGTACTTCAGCGAGACCTGCAGGAGGCAGCTGCTGCACAGCTACCAGCAGCGCAAGGTCTTGCTGAGCCAGCTCCCACAGCTGCTGGAGAGGGAGGTGGGGAGGGGCGCAGGTGTCACGCTGCCTGTGCTGCGAGGCCAGGTCACCGCCCACGAGCTCCTGGAGGCCCACATCATTGACCAGGAGCTCCTGGAGAGGTTGCTGGTGGGGGCGGTCAGCCCCGAGGCCCTCCTCCACATGGACAGTGTCCGCAAGTACCTGCGTGGCTCGGGCGCCGTGGGCGGCGTACTGCTGCAGCCCTCCCGCCAGCGACTCAGCCTCTACCAGGCCATGAAGCAGAAACTGCTGGGGCCAGGAGTGGCCTTGGCCCTACTGGAGGCCCAGGCAGCCACCGGAGCCATCACGGACCCCCACAGTCTGGAGACCCTGTCGGTGGCAGAGGCTGTGCGCAGGGAGCTGGTGGGGCCAGAGCTGTACGCCAGGCTGAGACGGTCTGAGGACGCTGTGACTGGCTTCAGAGACCCCTTCTCTGGGGAGCGGGTGTCCCTGTTCCAGGCCATGAAGAAGGGGCTTGTCCGCGTGGAGCAGGCTACCCGCCTCCTGGAGGCCCAGGTGGCCACAGGAGGGGTCATTGACCCCAGAGGCCACTACCACCTCCCCATGCCTGTGGCCACCCAGCGTGGCTTCATCGACCAGGAGATGGAGACGGCCTTGTCCAGCTCCTCTGAGACCTTCCCCACGCCAGACGGCCGGGGACATACCAGCTATGCCCGGCTTCTGGAACAGTGTCTGAAGGACGAGTCCTCAGGCCTTTACCTCCTGCCTCTGCCGGAAAGTGCTCCTGCTGTGCCCACAGACCAGCAGGTCCAGGAGACCCTGCAGGCCACACTGGGGACCGAGGACGGCAAGTCTCTGTGGGAGCTGCTGGTCTCCTGCCACTTCACCGAGGAGCAACGGAGGGGCTTCCTGGAAGACTTCAGGGTGGGGAAGACCACTGCGCACCAGCTGCAGGTGGCTGTGCGGACCTGGCTGCAGGGGGCAGAGCTCCTGGCACGGGCCCGCATTACTGTGCCTGGCCCGCGGGGCCAGGTTCCTGCTGTCTGGCTGCTGGATGCTGGCATCATCACCCAGGGTACCCTGGCAGCACTGGCTCAGGGCACGCAGTCGCCTGCTGAGGTTGCCGAGGAGCCTGCAGTGAAGGCCTGCCTGTGGGGCACGGGCTGTGTGGCTGGGGTACTGCTGCAGCCCTCAGGGACCAAGGCCAGCATCACCCAGGCGGTGAGGGATGGCCTCCTGCCTGTGGGCATGGGGCAGAGACTGCTGGAGGCCCAGGTGGCATCAGGCTCCCTCATTGACCCTCTGACAAACCAGAGACTGTCGGTGGAAGGTGCCATCAAGGCTGACCTGGTAAGTGGCACACTGAGCGAAAAGCTCCGGCAGGCCGAGAGGGCGGCGGCCGGGTACACAGACCCCTACTCAGGGGGCTCCCTCTCGCTGTGGCAGGCCATGGAAAAGGGGCTTGTGCCCCAGATCGAGGGCCTCCCCCTCCTGCAGGCACAGCTGGCCACAGGGGGCGTGGTGGACCCTGTCTATGGGGTCCACCTGCCCCAGGCGGTAGCCTGTAGGCGCGGCCTTCTGGACGAGGTGACAGGCCAGGCGCTGACTGGGACAGACGAGGACAGCAAGTTCTTCTTTGACCCCAACACGCAGGACAAGGTGACGTACCAGCAGCTCAAGGAACGCTGTGTCCTTGACACTGACACTGGCCTGTGGCTGCTTCCGCTTCCCCAGGACGCGGCGTCTGAGGTGGACGACCACACAGCTGTGGCCCTGAGGGCCATGAAGGTCCCTGTTGGTGCTGGGAGGTTCAAAGGGCTCACGGTGTCACTCTGGGACCTGCTGCACTCAGAATATGTCAGTGTCCCCAAGCGGCGGGAGCTGGCGGCGCTCTGCCAGTCCGGGAGGGCCACAGCCCTGCGGCAGGTGGTCAGCGCAGTCACCGCCCTGGTCGAGGCCTCAGAGAGGGAGCCCTCACAGGCCTTCTTCAGAGGACTCCGGAAACAGGTGTCAGCCAGAGACCTGTTCAGGTCCCAGCTAATTGACAAGAAGACGTTGGATGAGCTGAATCAGGGAACAAGGACCGTGCAGGAGGTGACACAGATGGACAGCGTGAGGCAGTTCTTGGAAGGAAGCAACTTCATCGCCGGGGTTCTGATTCAGGGCACGAAGGAGAAGATGAGCATCTCAGAGGCCCTGAGGAGGCACATCCTGCGGCCGGGCACGGCCCTGGTGCTGCTGGAGGCCCAGGCAGCCACCGGCTTCCTCATTGACCCAGTGAAGAACCAGAAGCTGACTGTGGAAGAGGCATTCGCAGCAGGGATGTTTGGCAAGGAAACCTACCAGAAGCTGCTGTCAGCCGAGCGCGCCGTCACCGGCTATACCGACCCCTACACCGGGGAGCAGATCTCCCTGTTCCAGGCCATGAAGAAGGACCTGATCGTCAGGGACCACGGCATCCGCCTGCTGGAGGCCCAGAT